AGAACTTTCGACTTTCTCAAATCATTAACATGTATAAACACGAATTTGAGCGTAGAGTACCACCAAAATAGAGACATACACTCGTTCTGAAACCATACACAGGTTCAAAACATATTTATTCCCATGAATCAAGAACCCGCAGAAACAAAAAACTAAAGGTTAGTTCCCTTTATAGTTTTCTCCTAGCATGCTCAACAAAAATAACTTTTGGCGGTCGTTCCACAAACTTAGACTTCTCTTCCACACGAAGCTCAAGTCTCAAGACTTCTCCACCTCAAGAATATCAAGTTTCAGACCCTTCTTTAAGTCTGAAACGCATCCAGATTTGACCAATTCGCTCAAGCTAAAGGAGTCAATTTGCCCAAGCGAATTGTCCAGTTCGCTCAAGCGAGCCAAAAATCTCTCGATAGCTTTCTTTACATTCTGCTCCTTTTCAAAAGGAATCTACTTTTCAAGGACACGAGGCAATGGCCCAAGTGAATCTCCAAGCTCGCCCAAGCGAAAGAAAAAATTTTCAGACAACATTTTCTGTGTTGGCAAACACTTTTTAGAGGGAATATTGCTTTTCCACGTTAGCTGCTCGCCCAAGCGAGTCCTCTAACTCAACTAAGAGAATAGAAATCGTCCTCAACGCTAGATTCTCTTCCAGAGGCGTGGTAATATGCTTAGACAATGTCTTTTGGTCTCTCAACAAGCCAAAATTACACTTATCTTCTTAAACTCAAGGGTCTTACACATTGGATTTCTCTAATTAGCTCCATTAGGTCTTGTTGGTCTCTCATGTTTCTTATGGCCACCATTGGTTGTCTTCTTTCATCCTTGGCCCCATGTTTCAATTTTAGGGGGTCGAGGTTAATCCTTCTTATATGAATAGTTTACGAACTCCAAGCTTAGGTAACAATTTAATCTTTTAGTCTCTTTCCGTCGTTTTGTTCAATTGGGTGCTACCTGGAGAAATCACTCTCATGTTAAAGTCAATGTTTGTTTGAATACCTTAGCAATAAATGTGTAACAAAAAGTAACCAACTACCTAAATATCAAACATGTATTTATAGACTTTCAGAATGAGTTTTGGATTAGTGTTCACCTAATTACGAACCATGCACTAATGATCTGATTTAATGATTAACATAATTATTCTTATTCATTGATCTTGTTGTGGTTTAACTGATCGGTTTACCGATCGTTTTGTTGGATTGGAGATTCTATTGACTGCTCGGTTCATAAATGACTGGACGATTATGTAGTAAAATAATAAAATAAGGAGAAAGACTAAGAATAAAGTGGTAAAAAAAGAATGAGAACAAACATCTCTCAATATGTTTTTAATACCTACAGTAGACAATTGAAACTGCATTTTTCGAACATATTTTTATGCATTAGTTTGAAAGGATNCTTGTGAGTATACAGTTTACAGAATAATACTGTAACCTTGTTTAGTATCAACTCACATGATGCACTGCTGTAATTTGTAGGTTAGTCATGAGGCTCCGATAACTGGAGGTTTTGGTGCTGAAATCTCAGCTTCCATTGTTGAGCGTTGCTTCTCAAGGGTATGCTTATATATTTTTATGTATACCTCTGAAAGCTGGAGTCTTTAATTAGAATGATTTAGTACCATGTGCATACAAGTGTAGCTCCCAGCCCATAATGATTTAGTACCATGTGCATACAAGTTTAGCTCTGCTATGTATGAGTATCTATGTATGAATATGTATATATATATAATGTTTATAAAGTATACTTTAAACTTAACCTTATAAAATTGATTTATAATTAAAGTTTGCATCTATTTATATATTATTATTTAATTTTATTTCTATTTGATGTAGGAATTTTTATACATATGTCTGAAGCTGGTATTTGTCTTTTGTAATACATGTCTTAAGCTTGTATTTCTCTTGTGACACAGTTAGAGGCCCCTGTAGCAAGAATTTGTGGTTTCGACACTCCTTTTCCTTTGGTTTTTGAACCTTTCTATATGCCAACCAAAAATAAGGTAATGTTTTTGTTTACCTCAAATTTATCTTTTTTTTTAGCATCATGTTTAAGATATGTGACTGATACAAGGTTGTCATTCATTATGCAGATATTGGATGCAATTAAATCCACTGTGAAGTACTAATGAACTTAGTCACCATTTTTTGGTCATCTATAAAACCTTGATACCATTCAGTGATGTGATGCATTAGTAAAGTGTAACACGGAAGTAGGTGGTTATACAAAACTGTTATATAAAAATATCAACAAAAGAACAATGGGCATACACTATGTAGTGCCTTCAATTTGAAAGGAGTGATCCCCATCAGTAAAAGTTTCCTAATATAAATAGATTTCTCTCTTTAAGTCTTTGGCCTTCATAATGTGTATCAAAACACTTCATAATGTGTATCAAAACACAGACACTTTCATTTATCATCCAACAACAAAGAAACAAAACAATGTGTTAAAAAAATCCATAAGTTATTACACCAAAACTTAAGTTGGTCTATAGAATTTTGGACAATAAGTCATTTTCGACGCACTTCTTATTTGACCATCCGAAATTTTACACAAACACACAAGAGCAAAGTTAAGATCTCAAATAAATGTTTTTCAGAAAATATTTTTTTTTTAACTGAGTATTGTTTTTTTAGAACCGAAAATATATTGTAAAGTTTCTTTTCACTTAGTAAATTCTTTGCTATACGGTACTCATCCTACAAGTCTTCTTCATTCTTTATCGAAAGGTGGGTGTTTGTAGAAAGTTTGACGACACTCAAGTTCTTGGTTAGAGATTTTGATCAAATTTGGATTAATGGGAAAAGTGAAGTTAAATTACAATTAAAATAGTATTTATAGACATATTTTGTTAATTATGAATCCTATTTGAATAGCTACACTTAGGGATCCATTGGTCTATAGGCTTAATGACCAGCTTACCTATGAGAAACTGTAAATGCTTTTGGCTAAGTTATCTAATGCGAGAATGTCTCTGAAAGGCACAATGAGGTATTAGTAGGCGGTGTCCTAGCTCAGCAAGGAATGTAGTTATCAAAGGATCGATGCATGTTTTGACTTTGGAAACATAGTACCTAATACCCGGTATCCGGTTCCCACTGTTGATCATTGAACTTATCCCTTCAGTAATATAATCATCGGTATTCTATAGTCACCATATCAGTTGTACTGGCTGTAAGTTATCTGGTACAACTAGGTGCTCGATAAATAATATCTTGTTATTGTTTTAAGTAACTTCTTTAAAAGTTGTAATTGGTAGGACCGAGAGGTCTTTAACCATATACAATATATATACATTATTTTAAATTATCACTAATTTGCATTCAAATATTCATGGACAATATGAAAAAAGAGAGCATGTGTATAATAATAATATAATAAATAATTATAAATAAATAAAAAAGTTATCAATAACAAAAAAACATTATATAAATTTTACTCATTTTTATTTTCTATCTATCGGAATGAATTTTAATAGGCATGACAAAAAAATAATTTAAATATTTTAGTATTAAATTTTCATCTCATCTCTATCTTTATCGAATAATGAGTATATTTGTTTTTTAATCTCTACTTGTATCTTAGTGTCCACTATTTTACAGTTTAAAATATTAATTAAGTAGTTTTTTTTTAAAACAATAGGAAATTACCAAAAAATATATATAATATTATCAAATATTCAACATAAAACAAATACATATATTCTATAAACATTCATTTTTCTAATGTCAAATATCAAAAAAGAAGTTATTAATATTATACAAATATTAAATAAAAATTTGATAAATATCAAATAATTATAAAAAAAAATGGTAATGATCAAGTGTGTCCTACAAACTTAATATAAATTTGTTACATTATAAGAAAAATGAAGAGTATTTTATTAATTTAAAAGGAAATAAGTATTAGAACGAGATAGATACCTAGAGACAGATCATATCTTTGTATCCAATTTAAAAAATGAAATATTGTCATACATATCAAGTTAGTATTTTAAAAAATATTCCCCTTTTATACAAAGTAATAATAAAAAGAAATATTTTCGAATATAAATAAATATATAATGTAATTTTCAAATAATATAATATTTTAAAAAAAATATGAACAATAAATATAAAATCATATATATGTAGCTAAGTTAAAAAATATAATATCTCTAAGCTTAGTCAAATAATAAACTATTTCTCGCTTTTCAATATTTTATAGATGAAACATGCAATTTTGTTAAGGTAAATTTCATTTGTATTATGATATTTAGAGCTAGAAGCTCATAGAAAATTTGAAAGATCAGAAAGAATGTGGATTGTAAAGTTGTTGAAATTTAATATGGATAGTATTTTTCTTAAGATACATGGTTTATTTCATGTTATAGAACTTTAATTGAAGTGATTCCAGAAATGAGGTAAATGTTCACATTTTGAACTTTAATTTAGGATCAATAATTGTTTAATTTGGGTGCATAGAAAATAAGATATGATTTGAGATAAACTTGGATAGAAGTGAGTTTCTAACCATTAACAATCAAGAAAAGGAAGAAAACAAGGTGATAATGAAAAAAATGGAAGGAAATAATCACTCTTTCCAAGGGAGGCAACACATAGGATGAGAAAGTCCTATGATACAGCCAAAAGGGTTCTTAAATCACTCAAGAACTTAGGAGAATCAATCTCATTAAGATAAAAGAGATAAACTCAATTATTTATGAATAAAACTCCATTTGTCCTTTCATAAAAAGGGTCCAGCTTATTTAGAAGCTTTAGTCATTAGAATTACAAAAGATCCATTAATCGTAGCTACATTCCATTTAAGCTAATAATGATTCCTATGTTGAGTAAATAATGATATTTTGGGTTCACTATTATTTAGTGATGGTATCAGAAAATAATGGTTGTTATAATAAATTACAAGTGACATGCTTAAAGGAATATTACACTTTTGGTCTCTCAAAAGAGGGATGACTAAGTGGCCAATTGGACCCTTATTACAATTTAAAATAAAACCAAACTAAATCTCATTAATTGATTAACCCAAAACATAACTTGGTCAGCCAATTTTACAAAGGTTTTGACCATTATTTAAACAAACTAATTACTTAAAACTTACCACAAAGTGGCACATTAGTCTTTTTCCATTGGGACTATGATGCAATTCACCACTTTGGTATTTTCTTCTCTATATAAAGAGATTTAGGAACACATTAAGGAATCTTAGGAACCTTTTGGGGGACCTAATTTCATATCTTTCACATTCTTCACTATCTCTTCTTCTATTTTTATATTATTTCTACATTTCATGAAGTGTTAAGCCTTTGACGTTGATTACGCTGAAAATTTTTAATGGATTCTAAGGTTAGAATGTAATCATTGGTTTGTTCTTTTTGATTATTATTGTTATTTATATTTTTTTATGTCTTTTGTCTCTTAATCGATTAAAATGATGAGTTTTAAATTATAGTAAGTTAGAACGGTGTTAAATCTACATGTCATATCAATTATATGATTTCAAGGTTTTTATTTTAATTGAGAATTTACTTTTATTAAAGTTAGAAACTTTTATTGAATGAATTTTTGTCAATAATTAAGAATGTATCTTGATTAAATGTGTAAAATTTTACAAAAATTAATTAATAATGTACTTTGATTAATTAGTTTTCTACTTGATATAAAATGTAAAAGAATAAACATGATTAAGCACAGTACTGTTTAATTAAGAATTACTTTGATTAATTTTAATATGATTAATTTGCAAAATTCTTTATTTGGAAATTTACTTAGATAGGAATCTTAGCTAAGCTTCTAGTCACTCCACTACACATCAAACACCTTAATAGAACCACCTCCCTGCATCTTTCTGTTAATCATTAATTCCGCTGTATCTCTATCTGGATCCAGATTTGTGGATCTTCTTCCCCATTTCATTGCACTGAAATCATTCTGATGTTAAAGTCAATGTTTGTTTGAATACCTTAGCAATAAATGTGTAACAAAAAGTAACCAACTACCTAAATATCAAACATGTATTTATAAACTTTCGGAATGAGTTTTGAATTAGTGTTCGCCTAATTACTAACCATGCACTAATGATCTGATTTAATAATTAACATAATTATTCTTATTAATTGATCTTGTTGTCATTTAACTGATCGGTTTACGGATCGTTTTGTTGGATTGGAGATTCTATTGACTGTTTGGTCCATAAATGATGGACGATTATGTAGTAAAATAATAAAATAAGGAGAAAAAGTGCTGAAAAAAGAACGAGAACAAACATCTCTCAATATGTTTTTAATACCTACAGTAGACAATTGAAACTGCATTTTTCGAACATATTTTTATGCATTAGTTTGAAAGGATATTTTCTAAAATGTCATCTCTCCTGGTTTTTAATTTATTTTAGTGGACTTTATTATTGCTAATTATAAATTGTACGTAATTTCATAAATTAAATCCACTTTTACAGTTTGTCTTATAATACCAACATCTCTACAACCAATATTTTGAATTTTTTTGGACTTCTTGGAAAGTCTAGAGAGTACTATATATTCTCAGTTTGATCTTCTTGGACTTATATTGGAAACCCAAGAATGAGTGCTATATGTTTTCTGTTGAGAGAAAAAAAGAAAAGGGGGTCAATTTGAGACCAAAACTGCAATGCAATGTAATGTTAGGATTTATTAAATGTTCTATCTTCTTTAATTTTAAATAAAGGTCTTAAATCTTAGGTGAAGTTTAAATAGAGATCCATACATACTTGTACGCATCATGTTTTTCGTACTATTACAATTCAGAAAGTTCCTTACTTTTGTCGAAGTTAGATTTCTTTTCTTATTATATATTTTTTTTGCTTTATTTCTTGCAGTCTTTCTTTCTTTAAAATTGTATTTAACTTATTATGTTATTGCGTAATTTTTAACAAATTATAAAAATATATAATTTTTTAAAACACAATGAATATATGTGATGAATTTCATTCTGACCACCATTTACTGTTTCTTCACGAGTTACGAATTGGAATTATGTAAAAGTACAGCATTAAATCACAATACTAAAAATTGAAATAAAAATTAATATATAACGTATAAGTTTATATTATTATTGTGTATTAATAAGGTATTATTCCTCACATAAGTTTTAAGATAATTATCTTAAAACATATTATATATATCAATTTATAACTAAATTATATTGTTAAAATGTTTCACTCGTACATATTTCATTACCTACATTTATTTAAATTTATTCATTTTTTATTTCTTTAAATTGCATTGAAAGAACGTGTTACGTGGTGGCCTCTCCACCGCCAATTCTACCAACCTCAGTTAATTAGTCTTACCTAAAATTTCA